GGATGCAGTGTGAATCCAACAAATGGGCGGTATTCATAGTCGATTCTTATGTTCAAGTCTTAAGTACAGTCTTAAAATGTCATGAATCAATCAGAGGGCCGTATTAGCATCTTAAGACATTACTTAAGATGATCTTGAAATAAGAACGGACTATGAATACCGGCTTATGGATTCCGTCCAAGATTGACATGCGACGTCCAGGGGAGGTGTTTGTTGGTCCCGTGCCGACTAGAGACACTATAATATGAGACTGGCATAGATGGGCTAATTTTTGATTGGCTGGATATGAAATGACAGAAGCCAATCAAAAGTCATGCTGGTAATAGATGATAGTACAGCCCGAATTCTGCTTTCCTACTTTTTCTGTTTTTCCGTCCTAGTTGCGAACGCGTCCTATGACTTCTCGTCCTGTGAACGCCATTTTCTATCCAATTAGAACTTATGTCAGTCTCTTATTATAGTGTCTCTATCAAAGTTGGCGCCTTGGGGTTTAGAAAACTTGGCAACCCTGACGGAACGTTCATAAACGGCACATCTCTAATATATATAACTATGATTTAGGAGCCTCTTGAAGTATTTCGGAGCACGATTTATTTCTTGATTACCTTACAGTAAATTTTACGAGAATATTGTGGTTTGCATTTTTTGCAATAGTACTTAAAAGATTAGATAGAATTGTGGTTGTCGTTTCTCTGTATCGTGAATTCCGGTAACCGTTACGTCATCGATCTCGATAAAAACAAAGAATTTCTGGACTTATTAGTTTGTATTAAATGCGTAAATTAAAAGTCCCTTTAATATAACATCGATGAATATAATACGCTACTAGAGAGAAGACTACGCATGTTTTGAAGGTTAATTTGCTGGCCTAATCCCTAAAGCTGATTCTACAATGAGTCGGTAGTCGGAAATCTTTTAAGTCTTAACCAGGGGGTCGATTGTGTATCTCGAAATGAGATGAAAATTACAAAAGTGAGCAAATTCACTAGGATATTCATAATTTGATTAGTCAATAACTAGTGAATTTGCTCACTTTTGGAATTTTCACCTCATTTCAAAATACACGATCGATTCCCAGTTTTAACCTAAATAAGTGACTATGATTTTTCACATCTACTAGTTGTTAGTTGTACAGTGAGTCGTTTAATTCGACTAAATGGGAAGGAATAAAGTCGAATTTGGTCTATCTTAAGAAAATCGGTAGTCTTACAAATTAGCTATTGGCCAACTTCACCGATTCACCGATAAGACATAGAACTACCGACTACCGACTAAATCATTGTAGAATCAGCTTAATAGTGACACTTGTCATAACATGCGTGCACAGCTGATCACGTTATAATGCAGTTATTATTTAAATTTCAATGCATTTGTAGTCAGTAAGAGTTATTTTTATGTAAAATTAAAAAAATATATAACTTTACATACAAATCAAGCTGAGAGGTGCATTTCATTTTCATGTTCATGCTGTAAGCGCTTATCCTTATCCATCAAATATTAAACAAGGATAAATAATTACAAGCGTTGTAAGCGCATAACGGAACGCATCCTAATATGTTAGAATTAATTTTTTATTTTAATTATAAAAATATAAATCTACTATAATTTTTTAATAATAATAATAAACTTTCAATAATAATAACAATCCGAAAGTAATCTGCACAGTCATATTTCTGAGATAAATTGATTTGAAATATAGGTACGTTCACATATATATATATATACATATATATATATATATGACTTTGAGCATAAGTAGCCCTTCTCATGTACTTAGTTGATGTAATAACAATACTATTTTGTATTTGTGTGTGTTTCCTTAAAATCTGTAGCAAATTAATAATGATTAAGAATGGCTAATTAAATGTTTCTTTTCATTTAAATAAAGACAGGTTGAAAGTTGTGACATCGAAATATTAAATAGTGGCAAACATAAATTTTATAACAAATATTTTTTCTTTATTTTATAGATATGTTTGGGAAAGAAGCTGTTAAGCTCATAACAGAGCTCGATATGCATGAAGATATTAGACCATTTAATGTAAATATTATAAATATTATTATAGGTTATTATTATTAAAGTTAGGTATAAAGTTTCTTCTAATTTGCAGGAACAGGTGATGCGACAAGTTTTTGAAGAGATGCAAACACTTTATGAAGCCAATTTGGTGGACAGGTATATTATGTATTATATGGTGTTCATTAAAGTCTACAATTATTAACAAATTATATGTGAAAAATAAAATTAAAAAAGAGTAAAATATTGTGTATATAATCAGTATATGATGACAGTATAATTTAATGAAATAACATTTAGCTGTCTTGTAATTTAACAGGAAAACCTATATTTCACTAGTGATTAAATATCGATCTTAATAAGTTTTCTTCACTTTTCGCAAATGTTTCAGACCTTCTGCAAATGTTGTTTCAGCAACGCAATACAGAACGAAGGAAACAACGCATTGTTACCATCGGTACATTTTCGCCATACGGCTCTGCTCAGGAATAAAAGATGCGTGCTGGCGTACCTATATCATCGGATCAGACGATTACGGCAGATGCGCTGGGAATTGGGCAGTATCCTACCAACCGAGATAACCGCCAACTTGCTGAATGCAGAGATGCAATGGTTTCAGAATTATAATAAATCTCTGGCCACTTACATGAGATCAATAGGCGATGATCATGGATTAAATCTGACTGTGAATATGAATCCTCCAAAGACGCTATATGTTGAGGTAAATATTTCTCTCCTATTCTTTTATATATATATATATATATATACAATATATATATATATATATACTGTGGCACAGATTTATCGTGCAAGAACATTTTTTTTGTTTGAATTTACAATTTTCTTACTTCTTGCTTTATAAGTATTTTTATTTATAAATCATGGATTAGGGATACATTTTTGGAAGTTTTATAGATATAAAATTTTATTTTAAAAAATTTATTTAATAGAAGAAAACAAGGTATCCTTTTGATATCTGTAATACATATGTAACATAAATTTTTATATGGATTTTGTGTATGTATGTATTATACTAAAGTAATTGAATGATACTAATAATTAGATGATGATTTCTTTCAGGTGAAGTGTCTAAGTGATTTCGGCAAACTTGAACTCGACGATGGTGAGGTCATTACATTAAAAAAAAATACATATCATCTGTTACCAAGAACTACATGCGAACCACTTATCAGACAAGGCATACTCGAACACCATAATACATGATAATTGTATAATTAAAAAAAGTTTCTCCCTATTTCTATCATTTCTTTTATACATTTATGTAGTGTGTATTTTAGTGCTACAAACACTACCATCGTTACGTGCAGCTCAACGTAAAAATGAACACACGCGCGCGCGATTATCGCATTTAAGAAGTAAAACAAACATTTTTTCGTGCAAAATAAAACATAAACGCGAATTTTATATTTTACTATTAGTATTTCCATATTCCTAGTTTGTTCTTTTTTAACTTTTTCCATTACTCTTTAATCTCTAATAAGTAATCTTTATTGTTACCGCACATATTCTGAATGTGATATATAGAGCAATGTAAATAATAATAATAATAATAACATAATTTTTCCATTTATGTATAAGTACAGACACTTAGGGATAAGGTATTCGAGTGTATTTGATTTTGTCATTGATCGCGACTTTTTCATCTTTTATTACATATCTTAATATATTTGAACTATTATTAAAAAATCAAATATATTTGAAATTAATTAGAAAATATAATAGTTGTGATACATTATAGAGAAGCTTGAAAAGATATTTATTATATTTTAATATAATCGGCTCTCGAGGTAAGCTACAAGAATATGCAATGAAAAATTTCTATTTAAGAAATTGAAGGTGACTATCCAAGGTCAAACCAATGGTACTACCTTATGTTCCCCTCTAAACCATACAATTTCTGTTTGAAACATTTTTCCGTATCTTCCATATTTTTCGAGATATTTACCTGGTTCTATTAAAATGACTCACCCTGCATACAGCATATGTGTGTATAACATCTCTTAATCGAGTGTTAATTACTCATATTTGCGAATTAATTCTGAACGTAATGCGCGGGGGGAAGGTGATTAAATAAACAGAAATCATATTCTCATGAATTTTTAATATTTTTTTGTTTTATTTCTAAAAAAAGTCTCGGAAAAAAACTGCACTTTTAGAGATTAAGATTTTACAAGTTAACTGTTAAGATTCGCAGTGTTACGTTAATTCCGATGAGCAACAATATCTTATTTACATTTTCTATCGTTATCGTAGGTTTTCCCCAGATAATCTGGGGGGCATTGACGTCGGCGAGGTCTACCTGTATTAAGGTCACTCACACACCGAAAAAGCCGTCACTTGTTCCTAATTATAATTATCCGCCGTTATCTTATTTTAATGCCATCATAATTAGGGCTCAGACAAAAGATTCGAACATGTTGAATATTCGATCTATTCAAATAGTTCGAAGTTTAAAAAAATGAGTATCTAATTCGAATATTTTGGACAGTTCGAACAATTCGAGCTTAAGCAGTAATCAATATGAAATGTCAATTTGTTATGTTTGAAGTTCGGACGGTTCGGACAGTAAACAAATATAGTAAACCATGGAAATAAAAGAGCAGTTAAATAAAATTCCTATATTTATTGATATCGTCCTATATTACAGTTAAATTGTTGAATAGGAAATTGTACGATTATGTTACTAACAATATTATGGTACTATTCCTTATAGTATTTGCTGGGCAGAAATCTAATGCACAAATGTTGAAAAAAATAATTATTAAAAAAAATGTTTATTAGCAACTACTTATGACTGATTTCTCTGTTATATCAGCAAGATTTAAACAATCTGAAAAAATAGGAGTAAGAAAAAGAGGATAGTGTTTGTTTGAATTGTGACTTAAAAATAATAGGTAATGAACACCGTATTTTCTTAAATTCTAACGCGTGGCCTTTATAATAACGGGAAAACCCACGTGAAACCTTTGTGATAGGAGAGCTCTTTTGTACGCATCGAGGTCATACATTTGATGGTGGTGGCGGCGGCGACGACGAATCGATTTCCCGGTACGTGCAGTAAACGACCGTAGAACGTTTACTATTGTGCATCGCCCGTGTCGCAAAGGCTCCTTCGGATAGGAAATGCCGCTGGAATTTCCGGTGAGTTCGTCGCGTCGCGCGTCGTGATGCTCTTCCCTAGAGGAACCGCGAAGAAAGTAGTCCACCATGTGGTGGCAGGCATGAAAGTCACATCGATTGGCGTGTGATAAATCACGCGTAGTGCGAGTCTGCCCACCCATGAGAGAAATCTTTAGAAATCTGCAAGATAAAGGTACATACACGCGTGCGCAAAATCGTAGCGCTAAATTAATTAATTTAATTTAATTTTTTTTTCTCTTTTTATCATCGTTACGATATTACAAGATTCAATTATTACAATTATAAACTAATTAGCAATAATTAATAATTATACATATGATAGTTTACAACAATTAGAAATAATATTTAATAATTTAAATAATTTTTAATTTCAATATTGAATTTTTTATTGAAATATTATTACGAAAAATTGTAAAACATTTCATCAACATTTTTGCTAAGATAAATTCTGCTCAAAATTTTCCAAAAAAATAAATTCCAATACATACGTTTTTTTTTAGATGTGTTTTTTTCATTTATCACAACTCTAATAATTGTTGTAAACTTATAATTAATAATAATTGTGGGGATGGGGATATTATAATTAATAATAATTGTGAAATAAAGGCCTAATTACAAAATCTTGATTTTAATAAAAATTAAAATAACTTGCTACTTTTTTATTATACACAAATGGGTACAGTATGAAATGAATTTATGCAATGTCTTTAAGAAATTACATGTTACAATACTTCTCTATTACAATCAATATTATATAAAAAAAGCTAATCTCCAGAAAAAGGGTCTTCTTAAAGACATTATATAAATTCGTTTGATACTATACCCATTTGCGTATAATAAAAAAGTATCAAGTTATTTTCATTTTTATTAAAATCAAGATTTTATAATTAGGCCTTTATTCCGCCCATTCCCACAATTATAATGGTAACATTCACTATTATATTACCATGTAATTCCTTCGATATTGTTATTTGTTTGAGCAATTTTTTTCCCCAAGTTTCTTTTACCTAAGTATTTTTAAATTCCCCTTGATCATCATTGTTTTTAGAGCAATTTTTTTCGAAAATTTCTCTGGATTTAAAAAAAAATTTTTTTTTAATATGTGATTCATTTCTAAAATAAAAAAAGAACAAAAAATGTGAGACAAAAAATTTATCGTGTGAAAAAGAAACTCTCACCTATATATTCATCGATTCTAGGAATAAAAATCAAATTGATAGATACAAAATTATGGCACTTTGTACCTGATAGCTTTTACAATCTAATTTGTAAGATATAACGCTCGTACACACATCTCAACTTAAAGCGTTACAATCTGATCGACATAAGATCACGACGACAAAAAGTGATTCCTTAAATCTGTAAGTGAAAGAGGGTGGCAGGTGGATATTATTTACGAGTTATTTTTTTCAAAAATTTCGTATCAGATTATCGGAGATTGAGGAATGTAAATTGAAGATTAAAATTCAATCAATTATAGGTAAGTTTAATTTTAATCTGTTTCGTTTTAGTTTTCCGATTGGTCGAATTCTAATCTTCAACTCGCAATATTCAATCTCTGATACGTAGTGTAACACGTAGGGCTTCTGCAGAGCTTCACAGAACTGATCGATGATCTATGTGCGTATTCGTTGAAAATGATTATCTCTGATTAATCTGATGTGTTCTCCGTGTAATAGCGGGAGATGCACTACATAACAGCACTTACGCATGAATTACTACGAAAGAAACAAGTATTGGCGATAATGGAACATGAGTATGCACGCGTGTGGTGAAAAATTATTACGTAAGAGTAAGAAATTGGCCAATCATAGTCGAATGTGAGAAGAATAATCGACTGTGATTGGTCAATTTCTTACTCTTACTTCTTAAACCAAACTTACTACATGTATTGTAGACGGGCCATCATAGCGGATTTCAACGAATTCTCAACTTATTATTAAAATCGCAGTGAAGGAGAAACAATTAGCTTTCCTATAAAATTACGTAAGAAATTTTAGAGAAATCGGTAAACTAGCCGGTACTCGTAGTTCATAATCCATAATTATTCTTATTTTAATTAGCCTATATCTTAAGTAATGTAAAGTATATATAATAGAAGTGTCGACTGTATGTGAGTATCGGCCTCTGATTAACTCTCTTTTATTTAAAAAAAAAACACGCCTATAATCGCAGTTTGAATATAAGATCAGATCACTATAAATACTGCCCTTAAGATATGATTAATCCAATGTTAAGGCTCAACACATGCAACGCGCTATTCGCGTTTCACGCGAATATAATAAGCGGGACGTTCCCTTATGTCATTTTCTTCGCAGTCCATTTTATCTGCGGTAAAAACCTAATGTCATAAAAGATACAGAAGAATTTCACGCAACCGCAAAGGATGTAAACACTCAGTGGATATTCCATTTAAATACCTGAGTCTTTGACATTATTCGACTCTATCTTATCAACTGCGATTACAATAAGAACGCGTTCTAAATAGCAGTGAAAGAATTAATCAGAGGGAGGTCGCATTTCTTTCTCTAAAAAGACAAATAGGTATTTCAAAAATAGCTTGAAAAAAAATTTTTCATGCATGAATATGTATAAATATATATAAACATACATAAATATTCATAAACATGTTCATACATCCCTCTTTCTTTTGTAAAATGTTTTTTTAGTATAATAAAAATAATAATAGTAATGTGAAAACATAAAAAATAATTATAAAGGGATAATTTTCGCATTGTTCGTTTTAGAAAAAAATAAGTTTGGGAAAATGTAAAAAAAATTGCTCATACACGCAATTATGCATAATTTTATATATTATTATATATAAGTAATTTTTTTTTACATTTCTTCAAACTTGATTTTTTCTAAAACAAATAGTGCGAAAATTATATATATATATATTTATGTATGTTTATATCATACATATTTATACATATTCATGCATGAAAAATTTATTATCGTCAGCGTTACAATATTATTGTCAATATTATTACGATAATGAATTAAATATCGGAAATTTTTGTAGAAATGCTCGTTGCCCCATACGTTAAATTTCACGCGAAATATCGTCACACAAGTCGTTTTCTTTACCGTCTTATCTATAGAATGAGAGTCCATATCGTATCGGTTACACTGCATACAGATACATTAGCCACGCAGCTGCCCTACCCTGCCCGCGATGGGTTTTCCCATCCGCCCCTACTCCATTCGCTCAGGAATTACCGCTCCGCGCTAGTAATCACGCTTAACGGTCATCTTTCTTGCGCATGCGCGTCCGAATGTGATCTCAGTCCAGTGTCTAGTTCAAGCAATTAAAGATACCATCTTCGGGCCCCTCTTTCTCGAATCGATTTCTAGCATTGTGAATACAAGGTCTTACTTTTCGATGTCCAATTATATGCATATTTCATTTTAAGTGCAGAAGATATAATATTCAGTGCAACAATCATAAACTATCGTATATAATATTTAAAGAATTAGTCAATTTTGTTATTAAACGAGTATTTATAAAAAAAAGAAACAATATAACGACAGTATATGATTGCTGCATCGGGATATATCTTCTGCGCTGCATTTAAAATGGAATATGCATATAATTGGACATCAAAGAGTAAGCTGTATCCAAAATGCTAGAAATCGATCTCGGACAGAGAAAGAATTGACCAATTCTTTCTCTGATCGCATTGGTCATGTAACCGAATCGTTCAAATGTGATTTGTTCATTCTTTTTCTATCCAAGATTTTGATTTCCAACGTCGTGGACACAAGTCTTAAAAGAGAAACAATTTAGAATTCGGTCAATTCGGCTATAAAGAAAAAAAACTGCATGTACAGAAGCGGTCATTAATGCCTTTCTACTGAAATTCTGAAATTCTGAATTCACTAAATTTTCTATAGTATACGTAACGTATACTATGTCTGTGTGTTCCAAAATTACTGCCAGCGCTGAAAATGCTATAATTTACGTTACGTGCACTATAGATTTTCAATATAGGCAATCAATTTTGAAACATAGCCTATATGAAACGCTTGCGCATTACAAGTTACAACTGAGCGGAAAGGCCGGTAGTATACGTCCCTGTCTGACGATGGCACGCATGCGCGAGAAACGCTGCCTGTTTGGCAACAACGCGAATCTCTCTTTCTACCGATCACTGATCAGTTCGTTCTGAGATTATAAGACGGTAAGGTTCGTTCATTCGCGATCGCGCGGCCACGAAACGCATCGCGTCGTACGAATATCGTACGATAAAAGTGAACACTTTCCATCTGTTTCCCTCGATGGCGAGATAGAATAAAAGGATTCCCTTAAAGTCGAAAGCGGCGGTTTTGAAAGCTCGGTGAAAGGCGCTGGAAATGAAGTAGAACGAGGTAGAATTTGTAGAAAGTCGGACGTGTACGGAGAGTACGCGAGTGAGCACCATTCAAGAGAGTGACAGGGGAGGGGGGAACGGATCAAAGTGCGGGGCGCAGCAGGGCACAGCTGTTCCGTGGAAAGAAAGAGGAGGAAGAGGAGCGAGAGAAGGATCGCGTCGGATATATACGTCGACGTGACGAACGAACGAACGAACGAACGAACGAACCGAACGAACCGAACGAACGAACCGAACGAACGAACCGAACGAACGGAAGAGCTGGACATCGTCGCGGTCGTGACTGGGTACTTGACTGGTGGTGTACGGAAGCCGAACAAGCGCGCTATCGAAGGTACTTGACGCACCTTGACGCACCTTGACGCACCTGTAGCGCAATAGCGAAGGTCGTACGAGAAAGTGGAGGTCGCGTAACGAGACATCGCCATCGCACTTGGCGAACGAGAACCGTTGCGTGCGTGTGGGAACTCTCCAAAACTCTTCCCGCGCGACCGAATCGAGCGTGTCGACGAGGCGAGAACACACAGCCACACAGGCAGAGCTCGGCCGAGCTAGTATAAACGGTCTGGTTTTTAGCCGCTCGTTCGTTAGAATCCCGTTAGTGTCACTCGCGGCCTCGTCGTATACGCCGTACTCCTTTCTTCTTCCCTTCGTTTCACGATACCATCATCGATTGGAAATCATCGATTCGAGATAGGTGTCTAATAAAAGTTTCGGTAAGAGAAGAGGAGGATAAGGAAGAGGAGAGTAGTGCCGTTCTCTCGCGAGAGAGACCGAGCGAAAGCCAGGAGGCGACTCTCTGGATCTTGAAGGCACGACTCGAAAGAAAAAAAAATGTGGCATCCCAAAAGCACCCAGATGGAGGAACGTGTTACAGAGGACGACAAGGAGCAACGGCGGCGAAAGTGTAATAACGACAACGATAACGACGGCGAGGACGACGACGAGGACGACGACGACGACGTCGTCGGCGGTTGCAAATACGAGGACGAAGCGGGCAACGTCGATTCCGGATTCCTGTCGGGCGGCAATCTGCAGTTCAGCGGCGAGATTAGCGGCGATTCGGGGTTGCTGCACTCGCAGGAAGAGTGGGAGGAGGGGGAGGGGGTGGAGCAAGAGAGACAGGTCACGGCGACGACAGCGGCATCATCATCATCGGCAACGTCGGCGGCGATCGCTATCGAGGAATCAATGAGGGCGATCGACAGTGGCGTGGACCTCGATCTCACCGAAACCCTGAGCCAGCTCAGCCTGAAACAGGTCAGCCTGAACCCGCTCGCCGCCAAGGGCAAACTGATCCAAGCCGAGTCGACTACCCCCGAACTATTGCCCGTGACGCGGGATAACAAGGATGATGTCAAGTTCGAGCAGCGTCACCTGCTGCAACAGGAGAGCGATGAAGAACGTACGACGAGCAACGAGGAACCCTGGCAGCTGTACTACACGCAAGACGACGACGGTGACACGTGAGTGGCAATTGTTTCATCTCTTTCGTTTAATAACTTTTTGGAATGAGTGACCTATATCGATCAGGATTGGTTTTCTTCAATGTGAAATGACACGTGAAATCATGCCTCTTAGGTCGAAGGTATTCTCTGCCTCTCCTGGATACGTTGCCTGAATTTCTTCAAAATTAAAATTAAATTAACCTGTGGAAGACCGGAGGCCCCTTTAGGACAGTTAGGGGCGCCACCTTTTTCGCCACTCAACCCCATGATATTGACAAAAAATTCTAGCCCTTAAAATAAAAAAGTCGATCAAAAACATGCCGATCCTCAGAAAGTTAAGCTAATATTTACAGTTTTTTAGCACATTAATATCTTTCTAATATGATGCCTGATTGAGTATCAAATTATTAAAAATTGCTTGTTAATTTAATTTAATTCGTGATATTATTACAGTAGTTTAATTGCATTTATAAGTCCGGAAAACCAATTCGGTGCGCAGTTCGAATGACTACAAATATTGTATATATGCATGTACATATATGTATAGTATATGTGTGTGTGTGTGTGTGTGTGTGTGTGTGTGTGTGTGTAATTCACATTGAATTATTTAAGCATTAAAGATCTAACTTTGACCGGTATAAGCATTTCTAGTTCGTATTAAATTAAGCTAGTATATCTAATAGTGTTATAATTGCATTGCATTCCAATATTCACTGTCAGTGCTTGAAAATCTATAGTACTTGTGCATTACGTGCACTATAAATTTTCAGGCCTGACAGTAAATATTACAGCTGTACATTTATATACATTTGGATACATATGGATAATCAAAATAAATTATAGTCTCTTTTCGTTTTTTATTAACATTAAATGTTCGTTCGATCGACATTGTTTTTCTTCGATGAAATCAGTTAGCGGTATCTTCTGTATCTCAGAGCTGGAACTACGGTCCACTTGACGCTACAAAAACAATGCTTTTAAGTAATCTTTGACTGAACAATTAATAAAATTCTTCTGATTAGTCAATCAAATATTTGGAAGTATTTGTAATGGGACCCAGATAAATTGCATGAATTTCTTATACATACATGTCGAAATTAAATTAGAGGCTACGTTTACACCGTACGCTTAGTCCGCGACCTATACGATAAGTGTCTTTGTTTATCCTGTATATTAAACAAAGACACCTATCGTATAGGTTGCGGACTAAGCGCACGGTGTAAACGTAGCCAGAAGCTAATATCGTGATGTACTATATATATTTGGATAATCAAAACAATAACATAAAATATCTCTTTTTTTCGTTTGATTAAACATTCTGATAATTGTAGTTTAGCTTAGACTCTTCGTCTATTACCGATTTCGTAAATCAAGAGATCCATTAGTCCACGATTCTGTTAACGGCTTATTGCGGCTAGAGCGAGTTTGCGATCGCGGTCAATGGGTCCAGGGTCGAATATGATACTGCATGCTATGCTAATTTGCGATCCATCGCGGCGCGGCGACGACAATACATATATCGCGCGGGGAAGTTAATTAGAATAACTCTCAAAAAGCGTAGATATTGTTATGGTAGCCCTGCGAGTTATGGCATATTAATTCAAAATTTGTAATTCATATACCAATCGTTCCAGTCAGAAGTGATTGATCGATCAACATCGAATCGATTTATTTTTAACTGGGTTCCTAATTACAGAATTGAGATGAAAAATCCATCTCTCGCTTCATCGCGATTTACTCTTATTTTCGCTTTCTTTTTTACGAATATATAGTACGTCAATTTGAGCACATATCATTGACGTCGGCGTAAGTGGAATGACCTAAGTATACATACCTTTGACGTGCGCTATACGTGTGACTGACTTGAGCTCGTTGACCATTTCAATGAAACGAGTTTCATTCTTTGATAAGAATCGCCTTTCGGGAATTCAAATGAGCAACAATAACAAGATAAATTGCGATGAGATAAAGTGACGCACGTCTTATATATAAAAAAAGGGAGATGCAACACTTGCGGCAAAAAAAAGATATCGAGAAAAATATTTTCAAGAATTAACGAATAAATACTAGACTCCAATGTTAAAAATTAATAAATAATGCTAATTGTAAGTGCCAAGTAATGGTTTATGCTTCGGCGGTCTTAACCCTAAAATCCTAAAATTCAATCAATGGAATACAGATTTTAGTTAGGACCAATTAGGACTGGTAGCTCTATTGGCTAAATTAGGATTTTAGGGTTACGAGAAGGTTACTAAGACCGAAGCATAAACCAAGCATAAGATCAAGTTTGCCTCCTCTTCTTACGTAACGTATTATTTTCTATTTATACAGGCAACTGCACATCGCAATCGTGCAGGGCTTCATGGAGGCTGCGTTTTGTTTAATAAGGATGGCCCCTGATCCGTGCCTATTGGACATCATGAACTACGACTGGCAATCACCCTTGCATTTGGCTGTGTTAACGCACCAACCGTTGATCGTCAGGCGGCTGATTTTGGCAGGCGCAGATCTATCCCTAAGGAATTTCCATGGAAACACAGCCCTTCATCTGGCCTGCAAAAACGGAGATCTTGCTTGCGCTAAGGCCCTCACGGATCCATTATCCTCGATGGAGAGGAACAAAGTGATGCCCGGGCAGATAATACCCGCCTTACCTCAGAATTTGGAGCAACGCAATTATAGCGGTAAGCACTCAATTAACTTTAATAAATCACTTGTTTTGGGAAGAAATGATCGTTTGCGATGAGAAATAAATATAATTGAAACTAGGAACACGATTATTATTAGATGTTAGAGCGAAAGACATTCATAGCTAAAAAATGCTAAGCAAATGCAATGAAGAATTGTTGACCTTAAATATAGGTTACTAATCGCGATTATTCCTGCGATAGTTATTTCGTTATTTGGAAGCTTGCAACGTAATTGTCGCTAGTCACCATAACGTTAATGCAAGAAGAGATGATCCATGTCCGTGACATAAAGAACACCGAGGTGATAGTGGAAAATCCCTGCTTTTACCGCGCAGAATAAATCATACATAAGACTTTGCGTAGCGAGCAACGATATCACGATCCATGGACACGTGGAACTGCGCGGATTTCCTATGATTTCATCGAGAGAGAGTCATATGTTCTCTACGCTCACGTTTGAAAATTCCATCGTTTTAGACACGTATCAAGAATAAGTTATTCCTTCTGGAAAAAAAAAAAAAAAAAAAAAAGATTGCTTTTGTATTACAATGATAGTCTGATAGATTTTATCGAGTTGTTTGCTCACAATATATGCAAATATATTATATACATATTACTTACATTTATGTGTATATATATTTTTATGTGTATACGTGTAAACGCAAATAATTTTTTAAACTGTAAACAATTAAAAAACAAAAGCGAATTTTTCCCGTAATATAGAAGACAATAAAAATATTATCCTTCATTGCATTTCAAATAAAATTTATTTTAATAAAAGCGTGAAAATTATTTACAAAAACAATTGGAATTTCAAATGGTACTCGTATAAAAAGTAATATTAGTTCTGCAATGTTTAATTTCAATTTCACGAATGATAAGCATAATATTCACCAAATGAATAACACATTATTATTAAACATTGATTTTGTCAAATTAGAACATTTAATATAGTCAACTGCGTTAGCCTTGTAATGTCTTAGTGTAGTAACATACTTGTTGCTGCTGTAGATGGTGGTGTCTACGTGATTTGCATATCTAGTGTGACACATCTTGTGTCAAATCTTACACGTGACCAATTTATTGACTCATTAAATGCTGTTTCAGACTATTTTCGATGAGCATATTTACTCAATGCTTGATAATAAATAACGCAGTCACTTACGATCGATAACGATGCGTACTCGTACATATATATTCCGTATGGGGAATTCCTGTCACTATAATGAAAAACATGTAAAAACAAGTCGGAGGAAAAAAATTGGAATAATATTGAGTAGGCACAAATTTTTTTTCTTAAAATTTTAATTTGCGTTGTATCTCTTACAGATAAGAATTAGTAACTTTTATTTGTGTACAATGCACAAGTCTACAAAATTTAATACTAAGCTACATAGTTACACTCCTTAAGCTACATTTTATTATAAAATTTTATATAATTCAAATATTTTTATTATAAAATTTTATATAATTCCTATATCTATATATATATATATAAAAGTTTAAGAAAAAACATATTAGTCTATTAGTATTTTAGTATTATTTATATATTATAAAAATATTGTTTAATAATATCTATAATAATTTATAATATAATTGTTTTTAGATAAAAGTATTAATAATTAAGAGGATTCTATATGTCACTATCCTCTCTCCAAACTGAGGATTGCGATAGATCACAGAGAGGCAGATAGAAAAAAAAGAGTGAGAAAGAGAGAAAATCATTCTGGCCGGCGGCATCGCGAAATATTCGTTTCGGATTTTTTCAAAGTCTTGGAAATCCCACATGAGCGTCATCGGCGTGTATTCCGTCGTAAATTCGCGGATAACACGCACGTGCGGAGCCGATTGTGGCGTAAGCGATCGTTTCGGAGTGTGATCAGTTAATCGAAATCGACAACGAAATTGCAAATCTAACTTTTGCGCGGACGTTACTGCTCGTGCGACATTTATCCAGACTTAAGGATTGATGAGTAATAATTTAAGTTCTTAGTACGGATTCTGTAACTGAGAAATCACTGATTCATTCGAAATAATTGTGTTCTAAAGTCCACTTATTATTTTCTTTGAAAACAAGTTGAAAATGATTAAGATTGAATAAGCGATAATTAGAAAAATAATAAGCGAACAATAAACGCGATCGAATTTCGCGATAACAATCTTGACTGGAAACTAGATGGAAACTGTGGAACTGGAATTAGATGAAAACTGATGGAAACTAGAATTAGACGGAATTGTTTACGAAGACGTAATTTCGATTGCGATTTAACTTGCTAAAGAGGATACGGACTGTTGTTTCTTGTAACTAAAAGGAAGGAACGACCTCATGCGACCGTCTGCGATTCCATTGGCGAGAGAGCATCGTATGCTTCCTGACGAACGGAAGCGGAATGCTTTCGCGTGTACGATGGAATTTGGCGTGACTCCGTGCTTGCGCGCGTTCGTCATGTTGCGGCACGGTGCAGCACGTTCCGACGCCCGCCATGCCGCGCCGCGTGACGGAGGGCAGGCACGGCAGGTCGGATGTTTTCAATATTTAAAAATACCTACAAGAGTATTTGCGTGCCACGCGATATCTTCACCTCGTCTCGTCCCGCTTCGCTTTGGCTGAGCTCGCTCGGGAAACCCCACAGCGGCGTCGACATTAGTGGATTCCATCGGACTTTCACCCTTAAAAAATCGATTCCCTTTCGCGTCTGACCCTAATGACCACTTATAGGCATAGGGACTTCGCATCCTGTGCTCCAAATTTCGAGTAATCTCATAGCAATTTAATCAAGTCTTTCGTATCGTGTACATTGTAGCAATGTGTATTATTTAAACATCTTAAACACGACATCCTGAATCTAACAATAAGCTAAGAATCTCATCGACACTTTCAATGTCACCGCCGCGCAATCGACCGTACATACATGATTCTTGCACGGTAAAAACAGAAGCTATACAGTAGACCTCTATGCGACTATACTATACTTATGAATGTTTGCAATCTTCCAAGTTTATTTCTGTCATCAAGAGCAAGAGTACATTATCGACGCAAATGCGATGCGAGTATAAGTTATGCCACATTAAATTTCGTCAATGCGACTGGTAATGCAGTGCAGTTAATTTTAGCACTTTGATCGGTGCGAGCCTAGTTTGGATCGCGGGACTCCAGCCAAATCTCCGATGACAATGATTCACCGCGTCTTCCTAGTTCTATCTATATCTCATCGCGAGTCGGAGACATGTTACTCGGTCGCATCACTCATTTTGACGTATGCATCTCTCCGTCCCTGACTTGCATCATAGAGAATTCAAAGAGAGATATATCTATAATAAATCAATTGCGTACGTTAAGAATTCAACGGCGTAACTCTGTTGACATAAAATAGAGGAATAGATGAACATAGAGTATTTGTGGCTGCTATTATGTTAGAGTGTCTGATCAGCCAATTGATTTGTAATTTGAGATAATTCATATAGATTCCCTAATCTTCAAAATCTTAATAAAAAAAGTACATCGTTCTTGTTTATTATTGTATGACACATTTGCTTTTTCGTTTCAGGTGAGATGTGTCTGCACGTGGCTGCCACCAATGGATACGTGGATCTGGTGCGACTTTTGTTGCGTTTAGGGGCCGATCTCAAGGCGAAGGAGGGTCTGGCGGGATACACGGTACTTCATCTCGCAGTGGAGCATCAGTATTGGCCATTGTTTGATTTCCTATTGCTGGAATGCCAGCGATCGTCGTGTCTGAATGACCGAACATACGGCGGTAGAACAGCCTATCAATTGAGCTTGAATGTCAACACCGAGTTTACCAAGAAGGCACGCAGAGAGCTAATGCGATATGGCGCGATGCGAGAACCACTACCGGAAGAATCGGATTCCGAAAACAGCGAAGACGAAGAAACGACACCATGGATGGCGGATTACTTGCCTGCCATCGTAAAGACGCAAAATGCGATCGGAGTGACAGTCTAAAGTATTCATATTTAATTTATCGATTAATTTGGGCGTTAGATAATTACCAAACAAAAAGATAGAAAGACATTGCATGCATATGCACGGAAAATGTATTTCGAATCACATAACGTACCAATAACGTCTTTTAATCTATCGAATTGATAAAATCGGTGACGTGAGTAAAATTTGTCAGACGAGAAAAAGATTAAAATTATGTCTCATTTTTTATATGTGTGCTTGATAAGTATATTTTGAGCTTTAATACGCGTTATGAAATTTTTAATTTTTTAAATTAAAATTTAAATGAATAATTGTTATATCTGAAAAGAACAATTAGATTTATTAAATTAAATAAAAATCATATTTCGCGTGGAAGTTAACGTGGCTTAAATTTTATACGCTGGACGATATGTTAATATTAGATGCATTAAAGCAAATAATTAAAATAAAAATATTACAATTTATTAAAAAACAAAAATTATGTTTGAAGAGCTCGATATATACATATAATGCACGAATAAACGTCAGTGTCTAGCTTTGAAGCGCCTGTCATCTTAATCTGCCGGTTGGATTAAAATCTACAGTAAAAAAAATGAAAAAATTAGCAGTTAAGTAGATAAGGAATAGAATTTCTCGAAATTAGCTTCAATGTGTATTATATCTAATGTGCGATCAGAGATGCATCTTTTTAGTCGACGAGTATTACTATTGTAATACCATTATAGACTGTTTATGCCCTTTTTGAATCGATACCGGCAGCAAATTAGGAGTGATGAACGATTAACAGAGATGCGTAGAAATCGAAGATCTCAGAAACTTATATTAACGAAGCATTTAATTACGAACGAAGCGACGCGTAGACGGGGGTTGTCTTAGCGGTCGTTTGTTTTTTCCTTAGTAATCTTTCGCAGCGGATAGGCATGCAGCATCCCGAGAAGAGTGTTCCAAAAAAGGCTGTACAAGTATGACACAACGGATAAATGTATATATATATATATATATAAAATATTTTAACACGAGTGTTCTTACGATGTTTGTCGGAGTGTCCGTGAGTGAAAGTAGGTGCGACAGCATCGGAACGTGATGATGCAAGTGTAGAATACTTGTACTTATATACTTTATAATGTAAATAGAAGAGTACGTTAAATCCGCGTTTAACGATATGGATACTCGTGAAGAAGGGTTTTATTATAGGTCTTAAGTCATAGGGTAAAGGCGAAGTCGATGCGTGGAGTAAGATATATATTAAAGTGAAGACAAATAACTAAATTCACATTTTTTGTTTAATAATCAAATTCATATTCTTACACATGTGGCTCGTGTAGCCGCATGCAATGTATTTATATATCAGCGTATTCAGAAAAAAGATCCAGAACAATGCGATGTTTGTCGATGATAAACATTAACCGGATCAGTGTTCATTGTAGTAGCATACAATTGCTTCCATCAATATACAGTAACTTCTCTTCATCTCTTCGTGTAAGGTAAGTGGTCCAACAATGAACCATGTAAATTTCAGAGGTTTACTATATCTCTCAATTATTGAGTTGAAGATCTGAGTTTTGGCATACAGTTTATGAATTTAGTTGGCTGCATACTGTAAATAATAACTCTTAAGTTATTTTTTAAGTTTAGCCACAATTTCGATTATTTCAAAAAGCGGGAAGTGGTTCATTGTGTACAAGGGGTGTGTACGTAATGAACCACTTCCCACTTTTAATAATGAACCGCATGTTTTATACTGCGAATTGTTGGGATTATTTTAGTTTTGTTATATTTTAACATATTTATTTAGAAAATAAATAATTATAAGATGATAAAGATTCACAAGGCTGACCACCGCGTTTTTCTGCCAGATTCTTTCGTTTTGAGTGAAAACGCGTCGAATGAGTACATTTTTATTAACATTTTAGATGGGAGAAAGGGCCGTATTCTAAATAATTATCACAATGAATTATTATTTTGAAGGTTATCGTAAAAAAGATTATGTGTCATGGTTGATTGTTCACTACAAAATGATTCATTGTAGACCACCTAATCTTTTCACGATAATCTTCAAAATAATGCGATAAAATAATACAACAGAAAAAAATTGCTTACAGAATAATAAAGCTAAATGTGCACACAAAACAATGTTGCACAATGTAAAAAATGATAGATATATAACAACAAAAACATGAAAAATGTGTAAAACTTACGGAAAAAATTTACTTTGCAACCCAAAATTCTTAAAATGTGATATTACATAGCCGTCCTTGGTGCAATTTGCCAGCCGACTGGAGAGCCGAGGAGGGGTTCAAATGCAAGTCGCTGCATGATAACAGCGCAATCTGGTAACGTCGCATTTACGAAATATCGCAATGGTTCACGGTGTACATACTACTGGTTCACTGTTGGACCACCTACCCTACATTATAAATATTTTCCGTTAGTCATAAGTATGTCACTGTTGCGATATATTAATAACAACGATATGACGATATCATTACTGTTATATTCGTATAATAAAAGCTATAATTATTTTTAATAAAAAAATATGTTACACACACATATACACACACAAATCTAGCTTCTTTCTTTGTCTTTTTCTCTAATAAGTACATATCGGCCCATATCGGTTTTTCTACAGAGAGAAACAGACATGATTAGTTTTCCACTTTATCCTTCTTTTCGGGAGAAACCATTTTTTATGAATTCGATAGGAAGGTTTAGAAAGGAGAAGAGTTAGGTAATTAAATAATTGACCTGGTGAACAAACAAATCGTGCTTTGATAAATATATTATATCCAATGAAATTTAATGTAATTTTGTAACATAATTATGAAATCTAGTAAATGATAACAAAAATATTCAAATAAAAATAATATTCAATGCAAAAAAAACATTAAAATTGGCACTCTAACTAGAGTTTAAAATAAAAAATTTAAATAATAAAAACATTTGCTTAACTTAATCTAAATATTAACTCGCTATAATAACGAAACGAAGTTTAGACGTGTCGGCAAATCTGCTTGTAATTTGTTAAGAATAGCAAGAGGATCAAAGAGATGTCTCTCTTACGATGTTTTCTCATTTGTCTGTGATTATTGCATGCGTAGAATAACAATGTTATTGTGCAAGTATCATTCTATTAAGTTAAAAATATGGAAGCTTCTTGAACGAATGACTTCAAAAAGAAGAAAGAGGTACGTTTTTCTTTCTCTAAAGATCTTAAGTACAAAAGAGTTTATATGATTCATATGATCTCTCGAAGGATATTGATAATAACAAAAATGTAACGGGATTTTTTAAGGTAATAAATATGCGACATGATAAAATCTGACGTAAAAATTTGAAGCCGGAACCAACCGATTGAGTTATTTCAAGTAATGATCTATTAGGCATTTCAAAAAGCTCGCAAAAAGAATCTATCGCGCAAAGAAAGAGGGAAAGTACGCAGGTTTCTCAGTATTTAGATACTAGAGAAACAGCGTCGTTTCATCGAATTCCCCCCGACAATATAAATGAAATAATAATGACATTGACGATTGTAAGAAATGTCGCTCTTTACGAAATACACTTTTGATATTTAAAATTACGGAAGTATGGAAGGTATGCGCGCATCGACGATGCCTTTGGCCCTGCTCGAGGTCGATGGGTTTTTCCCATTCCGCATTTGTAGCCTACCCTGCCTACCGCTAAAGGCATCGTTGCCAATCGTTGGTACGGTCATGCACCGTGTCGGAAGGATAAACGCGCATGCGCTAGCAGACGCTGTCAGACCATGGATATTCCTGCACAGCATCTTTCATTGTAAATATATATTAAATACATATCTATATTGCATTTACATTGCGTTTCATTTCATATCAAATATAATGTATTAAATACGTAACTAACGCAATGGATGTAAAATATCCAAGTCGAAATACGTACTTAATACGTATGTAACATGTAGCCGATATATTGTGCATATTCAAGTCGAAATACGTATGTGATACGTATGTAATATGTAGCAGGTATATTGTGCATATTTAAATGTATGGCTATCACACGCGTAGTTGATACATATACACTCCCCCGCAATCACTTTTGCCATACCTAAGCCGAAATTTATTAAACTTCAAAGTTTAATATCTTTGCGGAAAATTATCGTAGCTTAAAAAATCGAACGGCATTTCAAAGGTTATTGCAACAGCTTTCATTTAAGCAGAGGAAAAATTGAAAAGACGCATAATTCTATTTTTTATGGATAAAAAACGAACAAGAAAAAATACGATATTTTTTATCTTTAGTTAATTGCTTGCCAATTTGAAATGAATAATAGTAGGATAATGAAACTAACGGGGTTTGAAAGGTATGCCTTTTACCTTTAAAATGATCGCCCGCCCATTTTTGTGCGACGTTTCTTACCGGAGTTATGAGTATTTTTATAAAAAAACATGATTTTGTTTATTTTCTTATTATCTCGAAAACTAAGAGCGATAGAAAAAAATGTTAAATACAAAAAATACTCGTTTTTAGGTAGAAAATACAAAAATAAAGTCAAAATTAAAAAATCGAAAAAATTTTTTTCTTCATCTTTTTAGGTAGAAAAAATTTTTTTAATTTCTCATTTTATGTGATATAGTTGTTAATTATTCAAAGTTATACATACGAACAAAGTGTAGCGTTACTTTTAAAAATATACACATTAATATTTTAATGATAATGAAAATTTTTTTCTCCATTATTAGGCACTACGAATTATTTTATAAAATTATTATATATTTGATTTATGTATTAAATAACAAATTCTTTTAATAAACAACAAAAATCTTTATTTCTTAATTCTAGAACATTTATTTTATAACGTACACAGTACATAATATGTCATGTTACAATAAATTACTCAAAATTATAATAGTGACACAATGTAATAACATCAATTAATTTTAACTCTAAATTACACTTTGAATAATTAACAACTATATCACATAAAATGAGAAATTAAAAAAATTTTTTCTACCTAAAAAGATGAAGAAAAAAATTTTTTCGATTTTTTAATTTTGACTTTATTTTTGTATTTTCTACCTAAAAACGAGTATTTTTTGTATTTAACATTTTTTTCTATCGCTCTTAGTTTTCGAGATAATAAGAAAATAAACAAAATCATGTTTTTTTATAAAAATACTCATAACTCCGGTAAGAAACGTCGCACAAAAATGGGCGGGCGATCATTTTAAAGGTAAAAGGCATACCTTTCAAACCCCGTTAGTTTCATTATCCTACTATTATTCATTTCAAATTGGCAAGCAATTAAC